AAATAAATAAATAAATAAATAAATAAATAAATAAATAAATAAATAAAATTTATGGAAATATATACTAGTAAAAGGATTTTTTCCCAAACTAGTACTATTTTAGGCTTTAAAATAATTAAAAAGTGTTATGATAAGAAAAGAAAAAAATAAAGGCATTCATTTGAAAAAAAGAGCAACATTATTTACAGTGTTTACAAAAGAGCTATTGATACATATGCCATCTTACATATGGATAGAGTAGTGTTATCTGAATAGCTGAGGGTTTCTCTCACACAAGCATTTTTATGTGTCTCCTGATTGTATCTAGCCAACTGGAAAAGAAAGAGTTACACTATTGTACACCTAGTGTATTTTCTTTCTCACCACCTAAGTTCTCTGTGGATATTCAGACAGATTTTTAGTCATAGAGCAAAGAAAAATCAAGGTGTACAGCTATTACTTTTTTGCTCATCTTTAACTACTCCAAGTTCCTTCAAGATTCAGATATAAAGAACTACACAGGACAAGTCAACAAAATACTATAATGAAAATTAACCCTTCCAGGCTCTCCTCTATTATATACAGCATACCAACTCCCAGTGGCTCACACTTTCATGCTGGATTGGTAAGCTACTGCAATTTTTCTTCCTATCATTCATATTTGCATTTTAAAGCTCATAATTGTCCAAAATTAAGCTATCTATGTATTTGCATTTTTCCAGTAATATAACAATAAATGTAGAATAAAATAAGAAAAAGACAGCATACCTTGCTTTGTTTGAATGACTTTTCTTTCTTTTGTCCTTTCAGCAAAATATTTCTCCTCAGATCCAGGATTCAAAAAATGTTATATACCTAAAACATCTGGGTAGAAATTTGAGTATGCAGTTCTGGAAAAAATGCCTTTTAAACATATTGCCTACAGCTGCCTTGGTTACCATTGTAATTTTTTTGGTTATGTACTATATTTTATGTAAGTGCATGCTTTTCAGTGAAAAATTGAATTGATTTCCAATAATGCATAACATTCTGACCCTTACAACGTCAGAATATTTGTTTTTGCAAGCATCAGAACAATATTATTAACATTTCTCTTATTAGGGAAATCCAGCAGAATCAACACCACTTTCCTTTAATAGTTCCATCTTAACTCCCTATGTTTACATTATTGGGGAGGTAATAGAGTGGCAAGCAGAACAAACAATCTAAATAATTAAATATTGATAATTTGTTATGAATTTCCCACAACTTTTTTGAATCTTTCCAATTTAAACAAAACTAAATATATTTAGAAATCCCACTTGAATACAATGAATGTAAGAAAATATCTTAATCACCTTAATTGCTGCAAAATATTATCCATATTTTAATCTCAAGTACATTCACTGACAATTTTCCTCATTCAGTCTTTTGAACATTTTGATTGTTTACAAGTATGTGATCTTATGGTTTCAGCTCCAGCTTTCTCTTACTTCTATGTTGGTGGAAGTGTGGAAATTCCTAACCTGACTTACACAAATGATCTCATGAATCCCAAGTCTCATGCATTTATATTGCAAGCTGAAGCACTACAGAATTATGTAAGTTTGGTTATGGAATATATATATATATATATTTGTTTTCTGAGGTTATATATATTTAATTTTGTTTTACAGTTCATTTAATAGCTCTATTTTTACTCTATTTATATTTAAAAAAAATTATATATGATAAATCTAAAACATAAGAATACTCGCTTGTTGGAAATTGAAGGCTGTTATTTATGAAACTTTCAGCGTATTATTAAATATAGAGGGAAGACTGCTCCAGACTGCAAATTTTGGGCAAAAAGTGGTTCCTTAGTTCTATTTTTATTAGTGGGCAAGGATGTCACTTTGGTGAGTCTGAAATGGCAACATATTTCTAACTATTACAAGGCTGGTATTGTACAATATAAGCTTATTTTTAAAAAAATCTTTCAATCTGACACCCTTTCAATCTGACACCATTAGGATTGGCAGCTATTCTTCCTCCACTCTTGCTCTCAACACTGGCTCTCCACAGGGCTGTGTGCTGAGTCCCCTTTTGCATTCACTCTACACCTACGACTGCCCACTAACTCTATAATAAAATTTGCAGACGACACCACGTTGGTGGGACTTATATCAGGAAGAGACAAGACGGCCTATAGGTCAGAGGTTCTCAGACTGGTCTTGTGGTGTAAGAGTCATAACCTTGCCCTGAACATCAAAAAGACCAAAGAATTGATTATTGACTTCAGAAGATGCAAAGCAGAGTCTCTCCCACTATATATCAATGGAGACTCTGTGAAAAGAGTTCATAGTTTTAAATTTCTAGGAACTCATATTTCCGACAACGTTACTTGGTCGGTCCACACTATGGCCACTGCAAAGAAAGCCCAACAGCGCTTGCATTTTCTGAGGTTGTTGAAAAAGAGTGGTCTGGGTGAGAAGTTGCTGGTTACTTTTTACTGGTCTCTTGAGAGCATTTTGACATACTGTGTAACGGTGTTGTATGCTGGATGCTCTGCAATGGATAAGAAGACGCTCTAGAGAGTTATAAACACAGCACAAAAAATCATCGGTTGCTCTCTCTCTTCTTTGGAAGAGATTGCAAAGACCAGACTCCTCTGTAGAACACTAAAAATCTCCACAGACCGTTCTCATCCTTGACATTCATATTTTGATTTGTTACCACCAGGGAGGCGTTATAAGTGTCTTAAAATGAGGACTAATAGATTGAGAAGCAGTTTCTTTTCCAAGGCAGTAATTGTCTTGAATCAGTGCATTTGTGATTTAGTCCTATTATTATTCTAATTATTTTAATTTTTAAAAACTCTGTAGTGTGATTGTGATGTGGTGTTTGGGGCACTGTGCTGGAGTAGCTTTCAAATTTCATTGTATTCGTGGAATGCAATGACAATAAAGGTATTCTATTCTATTTCCACAACACTTTCTATTATTTGCTTTCATAGAATAATTCTGGTGAAATGGACTGTAATCTATGTAATTTTAGATATATTTGATATATGTTGTTGTAAGTATCGTACAGTTAATGCAGACCATATTCTACAAAGTAACTTCATTCTAATGACAACACTCTCTGAATTAAAATAAATCACAATTGTAATTCCTTCTTTATAAAAACTTTTATTCATAGTTTACCTATTTATGGAGTCTTGTATTATGATTTTATTTTTACAATAAACACACTCACATACACACAAACACACTCATTTTAATTTCTTCTTCAGTATAATAATACTGGCTTTCTTGCTCTTTCTCCCAATTTAATTTTATTAGTGAGATCAATATATTTTTCTGGCCCTTTGTTAACAGAAAAAGGTTTGAAAGCACAAAGCACCTTTCTGTTAAGTTTGCATTTCCCAGATGAATTGGTTGTGAGCCTCAAAGCTGTTTTGTACGTGGATAACACAGGATCCCTTTGAAAGAATCAGTAGCTGAAATTTATACTGATTGTTTTATTTGGTTATGTCTACTTGGTAAAGAAACAGCTTTATGTCACCTTATAAAAGATATCACTTTAATAGAAATTTATGTTGAATCATTTGTGATCCCGTGTCTAATCTACTATGTTTGGGGCTGGAAATAAACAATAAAAATGATAGAGTTATACAGGACTTAATAAATTTTCCCCTTGTTCTTTATATTTAGCTTTCTAATTGTTTAACTGTCAGTTTGCAGAAATATACGGGTCTTCTGCTATAGGCAATTATTACTTGAAATCTGTTATTGCTGCATTCAGGTAAGTCATGCTTAAATTATGTAACTTTATAAATATAATATACATATAATATTTTATAAATAAATTATTGTCAGCCATGTCTGCTTATTTTCTACTCATGTTCTCAGGGAAGGAATCATGTTCAATAGAGTAGATACTATCAGAAGGGATTTAATTCTGATTAGACTTTGCCAAAATTTATGATTAGTAGGATATCTTTAAATATACAAATTTTTAAGATTAAGTAAAGAAAATGCTACATTGACAAAAATGATAAATATTAAAATACTGCAAAGACTTATAATCATGATGTATGTTGAAAATTCCATATTCTATTATGGTAATAAGTCGAGCATTATCTGTATGCTTATATTTATATTTATTTCTGCCTAATATGAATACTTGTTGACATATTCTTCTATGAGGTCATTTAGGAACCAATTGCAGTCCTCTGATCTCTACCAAAGGGCACAGATGTATGTTCAAACAAAATCTGATTGTATATTTGAAACAAAGTTTATTTTTTTATCTTCTTCCAGTGATGGAAAAAGTGGTGCTCGAGCATATTACTGGAGCACATTTTGGGCCCCCACAAATATTGTTCTTCCTATCAAAAACCTATTCTCAGCATATCGGAAGCAAATCAATTTTAAAAGAATACCTGCAATAGCTAATAACACCGCTGAAACATTTCCTTTAGAAGAAGACTTTGATATAATTACCATGGAGCTTTTTGGTAAGGTGATGCTTTATATATACCGTATATACTCGAGTATAAGCCGAGTTTTTCAGCCCATTTTTTGTGCTGAAAAAACCCCCCTCGGCTTATACTCGAGTCAGATTCCCCTCTGAAAAAAAAATGGTGTGGAGCTCCGGAGCTGGGCAGGCGCTTCCCTGCTTCCGTGTTTCCTTTGCAACTTTTAAGCATGGGGGTAATAGGAAGCAGAAAAGTTCTTGCATGAGGATATATTGTTTTTTCTTTTTTAACTGTTTTTAGGGGGGGAAAGACCCACCGCCATGTGAGAATGCTCAGACACGAAATCTATCCGCCCGAAAATAAGTGTGTGTGTGTGTGGGGGGGGGGAATTTTAACAGAGGGAAGATGTAGGGAGAAGGCAAAAGCGACGGAAGATCCTTCAGGGGAAACTGAGGGGGAGACTCACCCTTGGTCCAGATGAGCCCCCTTCCCCACCCCTAAGGAAGCAGAGGCAGCCAGCAAGGGCAGGCAAGCCCCACTTCACAGACTCCGTCCGTCCTCGCTCCCACCCAAAGCCACGAAGTCCCCCAATCGCGCAGCCCAGAATCGCCCTCCCCTCAGGGGGCAGCAACGACGCCCGGTTTTTCCCGAGACAAGAAGCTCCGCTGTGCAATGAAAGCGCCCTGGCTCTATGCTCGCGGGCTCAGAAAACAACACGAGCCGAGGTGGCTTTGGCTCCGCTCGGCTTCTCCAACATCCGTCGCCGCCCTGTTCTATGTGCCGGGCCTGGCAAGTCCGAGCAGCCAGTGCGTGGAGCAAGGCGGCGCCGGAGATCGTTGGCTGCCTCTTTCGCAGCACGGGAGGCCTCCCCCGGCTGGCCAGCTGCTCTTCTCCTTCTCTGCCTGGGGAGGCTTCTTGTGCTGCGAAAGAGGCAGCTAATGAATCCCGGCTCCGCTCGGCTTCTCCAACATCCGGCACCGCCCTGTTCTATGTGCCGGGCCCGGCAAGTCCGAGCAGCCAGCGCATGGAGCAGGGCGGCGCCGGAGATCGTTGGCTGCCTCTTTCGCAGCATGGGAGGCCTCCCCCGGCTGGCCAGCTGCTCTCCACCTTCTCTGCCTGTTTGTTCTGTGTGGCCGAGGAGGAGGAGACCGGCTGGCTGGTTGGGGGAGGCTTTCTGCGCCGAGGGAGGCGGCTGCTGGTCTCCGGCTTTGCTCCGCTTCTCCGATGGTCCGGCGCCACCCTGTTCTTTACTTGGGCAGCCGGGCGCCCGCAGCGGTGCCCACGGCGGCAACAGGCAGTTCCGCCCGGGCTCCGCTCAGGTGTCCGGCTGGGGCTGTCGGGAGTTGCTGCCGCCGGTGCGGCCCCAGTCCCGCGTCGCCTCGGGAAGGGAAAGGCAAAAAGCGCTCTGAGGGGAGGGGAAGAGAGTGACTCCTGCCTCCCGCTGTCATCATCTTCTTCTTCTTTTGGGTTAGTGAATCAATTAAACCTTTCATGATAGTGAGATCATTTCCCAAATTAATTATTTTTATTTTTGAAATTTACCAGTAGCTGCTGCATTTCCCACCCTCGGCTTATACTCGAGTCAATAAGTTTTCCCAGTTTTTTGTGTAAAATTAGGTGCCTCGGCTTATATTCGGGTCGACTTATACTCGAGTATATATGGTATTTTTAATAAATTCAGAAATGTTTGGGCCTGCATATATATAATTATTTATTGAAGCATTTATTGTCTTGGGTTTCAGAACCTGATTCTATGGCCTATGACACAACGCTGAAATCAGGTAACGGCTATTCTACCCTGACCCATTGTGTAGCCTTGAGACTTGAAAAAAGAAGGAAAATTGTTTTTATCATTGTTTTGAGCTGAATTTGAAGGGTAGAGAATTATTTCGTTAAAAATTATTGCAAAGAATAGGGACGGCTTAATGATATGTTCATTTGAAAGTGCTTGAATAAGACATATTGTCTGATTTAGTTAGTTTAGGTACCACCTAACTCCAAACAATCTGGATGGCCCAGTTTAATACCAATAAAATGCAATATGAAAAACCAGAAACAAAATAAAGAAGAACAAAATAAACACTAAATCCAATCAAGAATAAAATGGCAGTGTCAGGGCTCCAACAAATCCACCCATTCAAATCATAAGTCTCTAGCCGCATCTCTCAGAGTAAAAAAAAAATATTTATTTAGTGTTTAGTATTTATTTGATTGGTCAATCGCTTACATAATACAGGTATAAGAATAAATATAGTTTTGAATATATGAAATAGATACATAAGAAAAATAAAAAACAATAGGACAAGGGACGGTAGGCATGATTGGTGCACTTATTATTATTATTGTTATTGTTATTGTTGTTATTATTATTATTATTATTATTATTATTATTATTATTATTATTATTATTATTATTATTAGCTTATTATTAGGAGTGGCCATGTTGGCATTAGGTGGGTGCAGCTGACACTAAAATACATCATTCATTTCCCCCTTGGCCCTGGTCTTCTCCCCCCGATGTATATTCTCCAATGGGACACATCCATTGCCAAGAGTCATCAATCATGCTCTCCAGTAATATTCTTGCGCTCCAACAGCTTTGGGCTGCCAAGGTGATTATCTGAGGCATTTAAGGAATGCACTGCTTTCCCCCACTCCCTTTCTGCTGGCAACTAAAAAGACCAAAGGGGTATTTTTTAGTTGACAGGCAGTTTGCTTCAATAGTGGGTTTCATGACACACTTCCTGGATCTTGAAAGATGACACTAATAGAAAGAATCCAGACCATGTTAATCTTACCAGCTGGGCAGATACAGTCTGACTTCTACTTTAAGATAGACCATACTAGGAATTAGTCATGCTTTTATTACAGTAACTGAATCTTGGAATTCTTGCTTCCCCCTCTTTCCCTTTACCTTCATGAAAACTATGGAGATTCTTGTCTGAGATGCTTAGTTGGATTAATGCTAAACTGGACTCAGATTTCTTTTTATCTGACCATGGATCTTCCTCTTGTGTCCATAAAATCCTGTTTAACATCTACATGAATCTGTTGGAGGAGGTCATCTATTGGTTTAGGATTTTGCATTATCAATATGCAGCAGATACCCAGCTGTACATCTTGACCTTAAACTGAATGATGTTTTCAACATATTGTCCATTATCTGAAAGCTGTAGAACTCTGGATGGTGAAGAACAGGCTCAAGCTCACCTCTGACAAAATCAAGTGGCAGTGAATATAAGGCCACCTGGGCATAGGAATATTCCATTTTTAAACTTGAGTGGGGTTGCACTTCTCTATTCAAGCATGCAACCTTTGGGTCACCTTGGATTCACAGTTCCAGACCAGGTGGCAGCTATAGTTAAGAGTGCCTTTGCACAGCTTCCCCTGGTCCATCAGTTGTACCTGTTCCTTGATGGAAAGGCTCTCCATGCCTCCATGCACCCCAAAAGCCCTTAATGATATAGGGCCAGGTTATTTGAGAAACCACACATTTTGCATTATTACTGCCTGTTGGTTTTATTGGTCCATTTTTTGTTTTGTTGATCAACCAATGTCATCTTTTGATATTCAAGAAGTGTGTTTTCTCTTTCATAGCACCTAACCTCCACTAGGTATCCATTCCCCACCCTGAAGATATTCCTAGACTCTTACAAACTTGGTTCTCTTCCTAAATCTTGGGGTAGATAGTTGGGACCCTTTTATGACATAGAGCCTGTGGTTTGTCCAAATATACATTACCTTTTTCTTATTGTTTTAAATCTTTTTAAAACTTAAGCTGCCCAGCACTCTTCTGGAATCATGCAGCTTCAAAATTAATTATAAACAGACATATAGAAAAGGCATGCTTAGCAAAGATGAGTTTTTGATTGGCTCTTTAAGCATTGGAGAAAGGGAATGTGATGTTCAGTATTGCTTGCTCATTTGCTTCAGAACTTGAAACTTCAATTATGCTGTGTTTGATGGCATTTCTGTTCCTTCTGCTGAAAGGAAAACTTGACTTTTAGTCCAGTTTTTATCTGATGGCGCCTCTGAAAAGTGAGGTCAGCAACTGTGGATTGGTTCCCAAAGCTCATATCCCGTTATCTTCATATATGCCATCTGAAGAGAACAAAAAGAGCAGCGTTCTCTGCTTCAACACCCCCGCCCTAGCAATGATAAGAACCAGAATTTCCTCTCACTTGAGAATTGCTGCCATTCCTTGAAACATGTTGCTAAAAGATTATAGCATGATAGTAGCAAATCTCTTCTAAGTTGTTTTGTTCATCTAGGATTCTGTAATTAATTATATGATATGTGAGAACAGGCATTACTTAATATGACCAGCTGCATGCATCATGACCTTGGTATTTGACTAAAAAACTAGATTGATTGTTCTAAGATGTTTTACTGATAGGGTGCAGTTTTGAGTCAATTTAATTTAATGAAATTCTATTTATCAGAGGCAGCCTTAGAAAAGTGAATCTTGATTGTTCATGCATAAAGATAGCAGGAATGACCTTATCCTTATCCCATTTTTTAAGAGCAAAGGATATTAGAATTTAAAGGATCATCTACCAACAACAAATGATTTACTAATAGCAGTAAATTTAAATTAAAAAAAAATTAACCTCCCAAGCACATCTACAATAGTTACTGTCCAAAGAATTTACTTCTCAACAACAAGATTACTATATTGAATTTGTAGTACAAAAAAGATTGATTCAAGCAGTTTCCACTGAATCAGATGCATTTCACTTAGAGACACCATTGGTTGATAAGTTTAGAATGAGGTTGCATTGTACAGGCTTGTGAAAGATGCTGGGTTCCTTCTAGAATTTCAGGCCTTCCAGTCATAAATCAGATATGTGAAAAAGATCTGTTGTCACAGCTTTTATGTCTCAATCCTATCCCCAAAGGGACAACTTTATAGTACTGCCTCACAGCATACTCAGCCCTGTCTGATGAGATAGACAAAGCTGCCTTTTTAAATGTAAATGCCTGTTCTCTGGGATCTGCACCATGGGGTTGGGATTAATTTCTCTTTCATTTTTCCTAGTTTTCAGCCATTGATTTGTCTTGGTTTTGTCTACCAGCAGCCTTTGACCTTTACGCAAAGCCTGGTAATAATAGGACATTAACTCTGTGGAATCCCAAGAAATCTTTTTATCAATGGAGGCTACGTGTTCCATCTGAATGTGTTGTGAGATTGGTAGTTGTAACTTCATATGATGTGGTTCCTGGGAGTTGTGCAACACATAGGCTATCTGCATATGATTTTCTTCTTCCATTGCAGAACAAGATCATCACCAGGTAGGGAATACATTAAGGAAGATTTTTTTTTAAAAAAATAGGCACAATAAAAAGACAAATCCTATGCTTGTGTAACACGCAGCTCAGTGATAGAAAGACCAAGAATCAGACTCTGACAGTGGTTAGTTAAGGAATCGTGCAAGACATTCATAGGTAGCAAAAGATTTTCCCCTAATTTCTAGAATAAGCACTCAACTCGCTATTACATAAACATATGCATATGCTCTTTGAGTTTTTTTGTGGAAGAAAATTGATGAATTATTAAGAATTTACTCAGCTAGCTGGAAATTGTAGGAATTGACATTCAATATATATAGAAGGTGCCTGATTATGATGAACAGCTGAATATTCTATGGGTATATCATTGTACAAAAATCTTTTTTTGATTCTAGCAAATATGTAAAGAATTATATTTTATTACTATGTCCCAATTTGTATTTCAGGTGGTGTGGAATGTCAGGAGCCTGGAAACCTCCAGTTATATGTTTAACTTCATCCAGTAATGTAATGCTGGTCACTTTTTCACTGGATCGACAACATAAGAGTAATATATTGAAAGCATATTTCCAGGCTGTTCCTAAAATTGGTATGTAGTTATAAGAACTTCTATTAATTCTCTCATGTTCATTAACTATTATTTATTTTCCATTCAGAATTGTAAACTACTATGTGTGAAAATCATTTTTGCTTGGTTGATTAAGGACATCTTGAATATGACATTTTGACATATAAGTACTAACAATGCCACTATCCTAGTTGATGATATATGAAGAGCACTATGATGGATTGTAGTCTATAATTTATTTATTTTTATTTATTTATTTTTGTCAATTGCTTACAAGATAATAGGTATAAGTAAAAACATAGTTATGAATACATGGATACATATAAGAAAAATAAAAAAATAAAGAAACAATAGGACAGGGATGGTAGGCACGTTGGTGTGCTTATACACGCCCCCTACAGACCTCTTAGGAAAGGGGTGAGGTCAACAGTAGACAGTCTAAGGTTAAAGTTTTTGGGGTTTGGAGAAGAAACCACAGAGTCAGGTAGAGTATTCCAGACATTGACCACTCTGTTGCTGAAGTTGTATTTCCTGCAATCAAGTTTGGTGCGATTAACCTTGAGTTTGTATCTATTGTTTGCTCTTGTGTTGTTATGGTTGAAGTTGAAGTATTCATTGACAGGTAGGACATTGCAATGTATGATTTTATATACTATACTTAGATCGGACTGAAGGCAGCATAGTTATAGGTTTTCTAGGTCTAGAATTTCAAGTCTGGTGGCATAAGGTATTCTGCAACGAGTAGAGGAGTGGAGAAGTCTTCTTGTGAAATATTTCTGGACTTTCTCAACTGTGTTAATATCAGATACGTAATGTGGGTTCCAGACTGATGAGCTTTATTTGAGTATTGGTCTAGCAAATGTTTTGTATGCTCTTGTTATTAGTGTAATATTACCAGAGAAAAAGCTACGTAAGATTAGGTTAACAACTCTTAATGCCTTTTTGGCTATGTAGTTACAGTGGGCTCTAGCACTTAGATCATTAGAGATGAGTACTCCAAGATCCTTGACACAGTTTGGATCATCAACAAGGTCTTGACTATTCAGCCTGTATTTTATTTTCTGATATATTTTTTTGCCAATATGTAAGACAGAGCATTTATTTATTGAGATTTGAAGTTGCCATTTGTTTGACCAATAGATTGCATGACATTAAACTTTGGTGAAAAGTATGGCATACTGAGCCAAATATGCCAAAACTGATTGGTAATGTCCTTAACATTGGCGCAGAATTCTGCACATGGCACAGATACAACTAAGATTTTTAACTTAGTCTACAATTTTTCTGTCTTACTAAAAAGAGTTTTATGAAGATTTCAGTGACTAATACTGTGGTGGTTTCAGTATTTAGTATCTATGGACTTATCTGTTGATCGCCCATGACATATAGAAGATTACAACTTGGAATATAAGAGGAGTAAATGATATAGAACATGCACTAATTAATTAATTAATTGAATGAATGAAAAAGAAATGTGGATCTGTGTAGCCAAAGGAATGTGATGTAATAGAGTTCATGATCATATACAGGGTAGCGTAAGTGTAGGTTTAATTATGAATTAAAGGACATAGAGTGTTTGCCAGAAAATTAAAATTGGTGCTGTATAGACAGGTATTGCAATAGGCATAAAAGCAGGAATCCAAAAATAAATAATAGTTGCATGTTACATTCTATTGAATGATGATAATTGAATAACCAGAGATAAGTTTTGGGAAATATTGGATAATATTCTGAATTAATATGATCCAGGGCAAAAATATTCTAGTTGATAATATTGAGTGAGAATAATTTAATACAATGCCTATTCATGCATATACATGGTAAAGGAATGGATATAAATCTAAAATTATGAGTTATTATTTATATGAGTCAATTGTTTATCATCAGAAACTGAGGAAAAACAGTGAGGGTTACATGAGTCTTGATAGGCAGGATATGTAGAATTTTTGGGTCAGCATCAAGAGTATATCACAGGAGAAAAGGGAACATGGAAGAAAAAGGAAGGAAATGAAGATAATCTGCAATATAGGAATGATAGGAAAAGATACAAATCTTTCTGAAAAAGTATTGCACAATTGATTAATACACAACAAAATACATGGAAAATGAATGAAGTGAAAAATGACCTTGAAAGTGTCTGGAATAGAATGAAAAGGATTGTATGGCATAATGTCACTGGAATGTCTGGAACTGGGCAGTATGAAAAAAGGAATACATAGTGGATGATAAAGTAAAAGAAGTTGTGGATGATAGAAAGAAATGTAGGTAAGAAAAAAGCCACTTTAAAAATGAAGATGATAGAAAAGGGTGTAGCCAAAATGCAAATGGTTATATTTAAAAGAGAAAGAGAAAATGTGAAGCGATTTTGATCGAGTGTGTGTCAAAATAGTGTGATTAAAATAAAACTAATTAAATTTAGTGGCAGGGAGTGATGGTTGAAACTAAACCTAAAGTGAGGGAATTCTAGAATGAGTGGTTTTTTTTAATTCTCTTAATTTTTTTTGTTTTACAGCTTCTTATATCTTTTATCTGCCTTTTATATTGAAGATAAAAGTTGTTGAAAGATGTTGAATGTTGAAAGATGAGTTTCATCTGCACACTTGGAGCAATGTGCATTAACTGTTGTATTGTTTTTTCCTCCCTCTCTTAGTTTGCGGTGGCTGGTATGTTTCCTGGAATGGCAGTGTAATTTCACCTTATTATCCTAGTTACTATCCACCAAACATTGATTGCCACTGGATTATTAGGGTATGTACTCTTACAGTCAATCATCAATCCATCAAGGGCTATGGGTGGGCACTAAAGAGTCGAGGTAGGGTGATGGAAGCCACAGATGTGAGAGAGTGCTGTGGACCACCATACAATAAAGAGTGTGTCTATGTGAGGGGGTGCTATGGAGTATAAGATCCCTGGGAATGGGTATCCGTGTGAGAAAAAGCAGTGGGAGTGACTTACAGGGGTAACTTCTGACATTTCCTGCTGACTTCCCCATTGACTATGCTTGTGGAAATCAGGCAAGGAAGGTTGCGTATGGCAATCATTTGAATGCAGGGTGATCATGTAAAAGTTGCAACCTTGTGGATCAGTTGTAAGTCCTCCTTGTTTGAAAAGTTGCTGAACAAATGGTCATAAATCAAGGACTACCTATAGCTGATTAGAAGGCAAGCTCACAGGGGTGGAATTCAGCCAGTTTGGACCAGTTCAGCGGGAACTGGTTCAGGGGGTGTTAAATTTATATCTGGCTCACTGAACCAGTAGTTGAACCGATCAGCTGGCCCCACCCACTCCTCCCAGGAGTCTCCATGTGACCCATTTTGAATGCAGATAAGTGCAGGGTCCACGCGGAGGCTCTCGAAGGGCAAAAAACAGGTCTCCCAGAAGTTCCAGAAATGGCCTGTTTCCTGCTTCCAAAGGGCTTCTGGAGCCCAGGGGAGGCCATTTTTGCCCTCTCAGAAGCTCAAGGGAAGCTTCTGGAGCCTGGGGAAGGCAAAAAACGGCCCTCCTGGTAGTTCTGGATATCCAGAAATGCCTTGTTTCTGACTTCCTGACAGCCTCCAGAGCCCAGGGGAGGCCATTTTCACCCTCCCAGAGGCGAGGGAAAGTGAAAAACAGCCCTCTCGGAAATTCCAAAAGTCCAGAAACAGACCTGTTTCCAGCTTCTGGGGGGCCTCTGGAGCCCACGAGAGGCCTTTTTCACCCTCCTGGAAGCCCGAGGAAAGCCTCCAAAGCGTGGGGAGAGTGAAAATGAGCCTCCTGAAAGTTCTAGTAGGCCACACCCACCATGGCCATCCCACCCAACAACCGTGCAGAAAACCAATTGCTGGGATTTTTGAATCCCATCCCTGCAAGCTCATACGAGGAAATAAAATTAGTGTTATATATAGGTATTGCAATAGGCATGAAAGCTCATTCCAAGAAAGAAATAAAGACAAAAATAGATGGTATGCCCATCATGATGATTAAACAATAACCATCCATATTGTGGCTTAGTGTTATACAGTTTATGAACCATTTCTTTGCATAAACCTATGTTCTAAATTGAATTGTACTGTGATACAACTTCACAGTACCTGACATGGACTGATGGATAGTCCAAATAACTACTACTCTGTAATATTTGTATTCTTGCTAAGCAGCAAGGAAAATTACTTTAAAATGGTAAATGCTTTTTACAACAAATATTGAGAAAGAATCTTGTGAATGATAACTCTTTTGATTAAAACTGTACGGTTTCTGGAATGCATGAATGGATGGATGAGTAGAGATTACAAATCTATGCTGACAGAAAGAAACATCACGTTTCGTCTTGTATCCCGTAACCAGGCAGTAAGTTCCACTGATGTCAATGGGATTCTTAGTAAACCAGCATAGCATTTGTTTCTCTGCAGTATACATAATACATAATGATATATAAACCTTATAACAAATGTAGTTTTCAAATTTGTGTTTTTAAAATTCTTTTCTTTTTGAAAAAAACACCTTAGGCTCCACTCCCTGGATATAGATTGATGTTAAAAATTATTGTAATACAAATTCAGGAACAATCTCCTGGATCCAAGAAATGTGATAAAGATTGGTTGGCAATTGATGGAGTAAGGTGAGCTACAGCCCTATTGTGAAGCTTTCATTTTATACATTGCTTTTATGCTTTTCATTAAGTATTTAAAAATAAAACAGATAAATAATTGACCACTTCTCTAATTATCTTATTGTGTGGAACCCATAGAATAATAAAGGATATAAACAAACCTAAAAACCAAATATAACAAGAAAAAACACTTTTCTGAATTAAGCTACATTTACAGTTATTAATTCTTTGAAATGATTAAAAATTAGAAATTCCGTTGTCTGCTTTACTTAATTAAATAAAATTATCAGGCAGTGGAAGGATGTACTCAGTAATGCAAAGACGTTCTTACTCCTACTCTGCTTAATGAGTAACTCCTACTAATCACAGACTGTGGTGCTTAACTAGGAAAAAAAACTTTGCTGAGCAACTCATTCAGTGTTCCTTCTACATATCTCAGTGTAGAAAAGATATAAAAGATAAAAGATTTATATATATTCTTTTCAGATATTGCAAAGCTATTGCAGAAGAAAACAGGGTCAAGGAATATGGCTATTCCATTTCTATTAGCTTCCATTCTGATGAACTGGTCACACACAGAGGTTTTTATATAGAATTTAGAGCCTTCAGCCATACCGATCGTAAGTATTACATGCCTGTTATTAACAAAAGGGTGCAACTTTGTGAGATTGTTTAAAGGCTTATTAAGTTTAATTTGTGTATTACTAATTGATATTAATTAATATTAGTTTATATTTAATATGCTTAAAGATTGATCATACAGGTAGTCCTTGACTTACAACCACAATTGAGCCCCCAAATTTGGTTGCTAAGTGAGACATTTGTTAAGTGAGTTTTGCCCCATTTTTATGACTTTTCTTGCCACAGTTTTAATTGAATCAGTGCAATTGTTAAATTAGTACCATGGTTGTTAAGTGAATCTGGCTTCCCCATTGACTTTGTCAGAAGGTTGCAAAAGGTGGCCACATGATTCCAGGACACTGCAATGGTTATAAATATGAGTCAGTTGACAATGTGACCATGGGGATGCTGCAATGGTCATAAATGTGAAAAATGGTCATAAGTCATTTTTTGAATGAATGAATGAAATCTTTATTGACCAAGTGTGAATAGACACACAAGGAATTTGTCTTGGTGCATAGGCTCTCAGTGTACTTAAAAAGAAAAGATGCATTTGTCAAGAATCATGAGATACAACACTTAATGATAGTCATACGGTACAAATAAGCAATCAAATCATACTAGGAAACAGTCCATATAAATCGTGAGGATACAAGCGACAAAGTTACAGTCAGAGATGGGCAATAATGAGTGATGAGAACATTAATAGTAATAGTAGTGCAGACTTTGTAAATAGTTGGACAGTGTTGAGGGAATTGTTTAGCAGAGTGATGGCATTCAGGGAAAAACTATTCTTGTGTCTAGTTGTTCTGGTGTGCAGTGCTCTATAGCGTCGTTTTGAGGGAAGGAGTTGAAACAGTTTATGTCCGGGATGTGAGGGTTCTGTAAATATTTTCACAGCCCACTTTTTGACTCGTACAGTATACAGGTCCTCGATGGAAGGCAGGTTGATAGTAATTGTTTTTCTGCAGTCCTAATTATCCTCTGAAGTCTGTGTCTGTCTTGTTGGGTTGCAGTGCTGTTGTAACTTTAAACGGTCACTAAATGAACTGTTGTAGGTCAAGGACAACCTGTATTGTAACACATATTGTTACTACTCTTATGAAAACTCCTTCTATGCATTCTGTGCTATGCATAAAAGATAAAGAACTTTGAAAAGACAGCGAGAAGCTTCCTTCCATATTCAAAACTTTCTTATTTGGAAAATTTAGAAGGCTTTTCAAAAGAGGGGGGAAATAAAAACATGTCACAGATAAATAAAAAATATATTCTGCACAACAAGCATTAAATGATGATTAGATTGGTCTGTTATACAATGTCTTTCACAACAGCAATAGTCTTAAACATTATGTTCTTTTAGCTTGTCCAAGGCAGTTTAAATGTTCTGACCGATCATGCGTTCCTTTAAATAGTAAATGTGATGGGTGGAATGACTGCACAGATGGAAGTGATGAAATGAATTGTGGTAAGTTATTTGTAAGCTAAATTTAACATTTGAAATAATGCTTGGTATTTGCTGGGTTAGATAATAGTTAGATTCCTATGGTAAATCTCTAAATTTTATTAATACATATAACAAAAATGTTAATCTTTGATTTTGTCAAATATTGACCCTAGCTACACTTGATAACAAAAACTAATTAAAGTTGTTTCTGGCCGGCATTTGAATGAAAGATATCAGGAAGTACAGAAATATTAACTAAACCGGAATGTTCGAACAAACTAACAACTTCCCTGATAAAGTAATGGGAAACCACTTTCATACTTTTATCAACAAAAACAATTTAAAATTCATTACAGGCCAAACTCAGGTTGGAAACTTTACCATTACCTTTCTTGACAAATGTTAGCAATTCTTTATATAACCGAGCTTTGCTTCGTATAAAACGTTTGAAGAAAACAGGCAAAATCAGTGCTACATAAAGTAAAAATATTTAATTAAATATTTTATGAAGTGGGTACCTTTATTAGGCCCCTATTTTGGTATTTTTGTCACAATAAAATGATTTCCCTTGTTACTTCTATTGCATAAACAACTATGATGCTTAAAACGCTTATTAAAATATACAGAACACCTAACTAAGCACCCTTTGCTCTGTATAGGCTAATTTCCTCTGATTATTTTTTCCTTCAACATTCAGGGTATTGAATTCCATGATTGAGCAAATCAGCCTACCCAACCCTAGCAGAATTCTAAGGATGATTTGAGAGGCCATTATCTTAACTTATGATAATACAGGTCGTCCTCGACTTATAACAGTTCATTTAGTGACTGTTTGAAGTTACAACAGGATTGGCAAAAGTGACTTACGACCATTTTTCATACTTGTGACCGTTACAGCATCCTCATGATCATGTGATCAAAATTCAGGTGCTTGGGAACTGACTCATATTTATGACGATTGCAGTGTCCTGGGATCATGTGATCACTTTCTGTGACCTTCTGACAAGCAAAGTCAATGGGGAAGCAACATTTCACTTAACAAATGTGTTACTAACTTAACAACTTCAGTGATTCCCTGAACAACTGTGGCAAGAAAAGTCATAAAATAAGCCAAAGCTCATTTAACAAAGGTTTCATTTAACAACAGAAATGTTGGGCTTAATTGTGGTCGTAAGTTGAGGACTATCTGTAATGAGTTCACATGTCACATAAAAGCCAAAAGTGGACATAAGGCTGAACATAATTCTTTTTTCTTCCAAAAAAGAACTGTGCTTGGTTTTTTCCCCCCCAAATAATTGCCTTTCAGTTTTATTATGAATTATAAATGCATTAAATCTGAACCCAGGTCTTGTCTAATTGTAGATTTACTTTTTTTAATGCCAATTTTTTTCTGGCGTCCAGCATAAACAATATAGGTGTCCTTGTCAAATGACACAACTGGGACTGGCAACTCTATTACTAAGTGACATGGTTGTTTAGCAAGATATCACATAACTACAACTTGTGATTTTACTGATGGCTATTCCATTGATTATTTGTTGGAAGCTGTCATGAAACATGCAAATGACTATTGCTTGACTCCAGGACGATGCAACAGTCATAAATGCAAACTGATTGTGAAATACTTGAATCTTGATCACTTGATTATAGGGATGTTGTGATGGTCATAACTGTGAGGACTGGTCATAAAGCTTCTTTTTTGGCACCACTAAAAAGGGCAATACCTGTAATCAACACAATCCTAGAATTTGCTTGAATGAGCTATGATTACTCAGCTACTTCCTACAGTATCTTTAATCACAAACTTTGATGCAACATCTGGAATATCATACGAAAATTAACCAAAATAGATTTGGGTTATGTGAATATGCTTTCTATAAAAATGCTACAGTTGAATGCTGCAGTTTGACTGTATTAAGACTTCTGTAGATTGCAATACAGTTAAATTATAGTACTGCGAAGTGTAAACCGTGTTCCCAGTCTTGCAAAGAAGATAACAACAATAAGAATGCAGGCCCTGAGAGGGAGGATTTGATAAATAAATAAAACAGGCCCCATAAGTGTTTGCATGCACACACAGAGAAGCCTAAGTGAAGACATGGGATATTTAAGCGCAAAATCAGATCAAGCAATATACTGATAGAATTGGATTCTATGAGGATTGCCTATCCTCACATATACCCAGAGGTGGTATTCAGCAGGTTCTGACCAGTTCTGGAGAACTGGTAGCGGAAATTTTGAGTAGTTTGGAGAATTGGCAAATACCACTTCTGACTTGAGAGTTTATAGTATCCTTCCCCTGCTATGCCCACCAAGCCATGCCCACAGAAACGGTAGTAAAAAAAATTGAATCCCACTACTGCATATACCTAGGGCATACCGTGTTTACCCAACCAGAATGATGACATTATATTGTCATTTTGTAAAATTAAATATGTAACCTATCTGAGAAACTTTAAATTTGGGCCAGTCACCATCTTTCAGCCTATCCTACCTCACAAGTCTGCTGGGTAAATATGTGAGGATAGAATGTTAAATGTACCCTGGAAGAAATGTCAAGCAGAAATCTAAAAAACTGCAAACAAACAAACAAACAAATACTGACCATTTTTTCACCTGTCATTTCATCTTTTCAGCGTATAAAAGATGTCTACCTCATTCATATAAATGTCTAAATGGGAAATGTCCAAAAAAAATAAATCCAGAATGTGATAGTGTAAAAGACTGTGAAGATGGATTTGATGAAATGAATTGTGGTATGTAATTAATGTGTGAATACGTGAAAGGAGCTGTAATCATGACAGAACTCCCCCCATGATTTTTTTGAGGAGATGAAAATCAAAGTCTCTATGTGCTCAGGATTGTACTGCACAATACATAGGAAGTAATCAGCACCTCTCTTTTAGCATGTGGAAGGAGTCAGATAACGAAACTCAGAATTGTTGGTGGTGAAGAATCAAAGCCTGGAAAGTGGCCTTGGCAAGCAAGCTTACAACTGGGAAAATCTGGTCATGTATGTGGTGCCTCTCTAATTTCAAATCGATGGTTGGTATCAGCTGCACATTGCTTTCAGGACCCCGAGTCTATAAGGTATGCATTATGTAATGCAAAGCATATATTACTGACAATAGACATTCAGACTATTGCAGTATGTTTAAGTATCATTTAGCTCAAAGGCATCATATTCATATCTGCCTTTTCCCCTTCTCACTCTTTATTTTAAACAAAAATTAATAGGAGGTTGACATATGGCAGCTCACAACAATAGTAAAATTAAAAATAAGAAAAAATGAGAAAACCCAGAGGCCTAAGCCATCGTCTCCATCTATTCATCTATACAATTCCCAGGTTCCAACCTTATTATCCTATAACATAATGGCAGCCTTAATAGCTTAACAACGACGCTATAGAGCACTGCACACCAGAACAACTAGACACAAGGACAGTTTTTTCCCGAATGCCATCACTCTGCTAAACAAATAATTCCCTCAACACTGTCCAACTATTTACAAAGTTTGCATTACTATTACTATTAATCTTCTCATCACTCCTTATCGTCCATTCCCTTCCACTTGTATGACTGTAACTTTGTCACTTGTATCCTTATAGGGTATATTGACTGTTTCCTAGTATGATTTGATTACTTATTGTACCCTATGACTATTATTAAGTGTTGCACCTGATGATTCTTGACTCTTGATGAATGTATCTTTTGGCCAATAATTCTATCTATCCATCCATCATCTATCTATCTATCTATCTATCTATCTATCTATCTATCTATCTATC